CCCCTGCCTGCTGGAGAGAGGCAGGAAGGCAAACGCAGCTCCTAGAATGGGCTCAGCTCACTGGGCAAGAGAAGAAGAGGAGGCTTAGCCAGAGTACATCACTTGTGGTGGCTCCTTTGCTGGAGCAGGGGGAATGCAATGCAGAGATTTATGTATCCCAGGCTGAAGACCCACATGACACCAGTGATTCAGTGGCTGAATCAGATGAGGAATGTCCTGGTTTCAGTCCTTAGTCTACAAGATGTGCCTGGGTGATGCCACAAAGGCACAGTCCTCACGGTTCTTGTCAGTGTCAGCAGCTTCTGGTGGTAGTTGATGCATAGATGACTGATGTGACCATCTCGTCAATGGCTGCTGTGAGAATAGCACCTACATTGTGTTTTGAGCCACTTGAATAGCTTCCTGCCTCTTACCTTCTCCCCTCCCTTGCAATACCTCCATCCCTTTGTCATCCGCACCCAGGTGCTGCCGCTTGCTCATGCATCAGGAAGCTGCAGGTCTCTGCAGAGATGGTTCTGCCAGCCTGATGCATATTGGATTCAGAAGGGGCACAGTGGCTTTCCTGGCAAACCTGGCTTGTTGGATCTACTTAACCATAGTTGGTGTCTTCACTGCTGGTTGGTAGTCTGCCCACCCATAAGGAGCTCCTCTTCATGGCAGCAGCTTTTCTGCTGTTGTGTGTTCATCCCTGCTTCCCCCTCAGCTTCTGTAAAAAAACACCAGCTCCTTCAGGCACAGTCCTGCTTCCCTGTGGAGCAGGACCTGCCAATATGCTGGGTCCTACTGGTTGAGCACATTGTGGGTTAAACCTGTTCCTGCTCATGGGGCAATTCATACACCTGTACAATTCTAGCAGGTCCTCTGAATGCTTGATCTAGTAGAGCTAAAGTCTGGGGCAAAACAAGTATCTCCACAGAGAGTATCTGTACCCAACAGAACCCCCTATGTGCTGGGCTGTGTCCCCAGAGCATGAGCAGCAGGTCAAGGGAAGGGATTTTCCCCCTCTGCTGTGTTTTGGGGAGAACCCTCCTGCAGTCCTGATCCAGCTCTGGGGCAACAGTACAAGAGGGACATGGAGCTGCTGGAGTGAGTCCAGAGGAGGCCACAGAGATGTTGCAAGGGCTGGAGCAACTCTGCTCTGGAGCCAGGCTGAGAGAGCTGGGCTAGGTCAGCTGGAGAAGAGAAGGCTCCTGAAGGGGACACCTTAGAGCAGCTCCAGTGCCAATTCTTGTCAGTGTCAGCAGCTCCTGGTGGTAGTTGATGCATAGATGACTGATGTGACCATCTCTCTTTGCCCAGCTCCTCATCTCTCAACTTTTTTTATTACTTCTGTGTGATAATTTAAAACCACTTTCTGGAGCTCTCACTGCTGAACAGCTTGATACCACCTTTCTTTCCCAGTGTATCCTTCCCCTGTAGAAACTAACCTTGCAAGGGTTTCAATTTCCAGAGAGACAGAAGTAAAAATAATGTGGAGAATACGAATTTCAATTTAATGTCTCTGAAGCTCAATACGCTCAAAGTGGGATGTCAGGTTTCTGCCATGTAATTCTGTGCT